TGCCAGAGCTCTTTCTGCAGCTGCAGTGGGGGAGGCCAGCAAGAGTAAAAGGTGCAGAGATGTCTCTGATCAAGGCCTCTGGGGAGGACTGGCCTTCAAGAAGTCATCTCAGGAGCTGGAGAAGGAAAGTCCTAAGAATATATGCCACTTCTTTTGAAATATCACTTGACTCATACCAGCTAAGCACAAGACAAACATCACAGCAGAACAACTGTTCACACACACACACACACACACACACACACACACACACACACACGTGGGAAAAAACAGAGGGAGGGATGAAGGGGGAAGAGAGAAAAATCAGAACGAATGAGAGAAAAGAGAGAAAGAAGAATTGGACAGCCATTTGGACTTCAGTCACGTTTTGTGATTCCAGTTGGGAAGTTAGTCCCTCTGCTCGTCTCCCTCAAGCCAAGTCACAGAATTTGGAACTGAGCCCAGGAGCTTCCATTGACCACCACCTCATGCTGTTTTATCATACATCTATTTTTGCAGTGCTGGGACTGAATCCAGAACCTTCCTCACACTAGGTAAACATTCTGCCATCCACTTACATCTCCAGCTTCTTTGCTATTGTTTGCTACTATAACAAAGATGAGGTCTCTCTCTGCAGAGGCTGACCTTGGATTCCTGGGCTCAGCCTGCCAGGACCCGACGTTCCCCACCTGTGATACCAAAACCAACTCTTTTCATCCATGGGAGCACTGGGAGCACTGGGCAGCTAAGATGAAGTCAGGGAGTCTGCTGGCCCGACCCTGCAGTTCCCTGCTCCTAGGAGGCTGAGCCAGGAGGTTCACTTGAGCCAAAGGATTCCAGGCCAGCCTGGACAACCCAGCAAAATCTGTCCACACAAAAGGAGGAAAGGGAGAGAGCTGGGGGGAAGAAAAGAAAAGAAAGAGGATCCAGGAGAGCAGAGATTAGACACAGGGAAGAGAGAGGGGAGAGGGGAGAGAAGACAGGGAGAGGGCTCCTCTGTGGGTCCCTAGCATCTTACCCTTCTTGTTTCCAGAAGAGTGTGGGGCCAGCCAGAGCAGGGAGTGTGTGGGTTAGGAAGGAGAGTGAGAAGCTGGGACCCAGGGCAAGGGGCAGGGGGAGGGGCACTGCTCAGGCTGGTCTGAGCGACTTCCTTCTCTGCCCAAGGCACTGGGACCCTTACTTCTCCCCAAACACCATCACTGGAGACAAATGAAGGGGCAAGAAGCACCCCAGAGGGTGATGAGGATTCCCTCCTCCCCACCCCACCGTCCCCGGTGGAGGCCGATCGCCGCCTCCAAGAACCCGAGCGCCCCCTGCCGGCCTTGCTCTGCAGCGCACCGCCCTAGCCAGCCAATGAGGGCCGACCCGAGGGTTGGCCCAGGCGCAGCAGGTATGTAAATGCAACTTGCTGCAGGTCCAATACACTTCTGATTCTCAGACTCAGAAAGGAATCATCATGGTGCTCTCTGCGGAGGACAAGGCCAACGTCAAGACTGTCTGGAGTAAGATTGGAGGCCATCGTGCTGAATATGGCGCGGAGGCTCTAGGGAGGAGACGGGGGCCTCTGCTCTGTAAGGACCACGGGATCCAAAGCAGATCTGGTGCTCAGTGGGCAGGCCCTACCTGTGCTGTCCTGTGACCTCAACTCTTCCTCCCACAGGATGTTCGAAAGCCACCCCACCACCAAGACCTACTTCCCTCACTTTGATGTGAGCCACGGCTCTGCCCAGGTCAAAACCCAAGGCGCGAAGGTCGCCGATGCCCTGGCCACCGCTGCTGACAACCTCGATGACCTGCCCGCTGCCCTGTCTGCTCTGAGCGACCTGCACGCTCACAAGCTGCGTGTGGACCCTG